GCTCCCGATGTTCTTGCCAAACCCAAATGTGTTTGCAGATGTGTCTCGGTGCTGGAAAAATATTCAGATGTGACCTTCTTATCGTCAACCAGAGAAATACACAAAATGAAGCCTTGAGTCAAACAAAAACCTTTTTTTTTTTTGGGGGGGGTAATGGTGTGACACCGAAGCACGACTTGGCTGGTCCCCGATGCAGGAACAATTTACAGCGAGAAAGCACGAATGCACGGAAGGCACGAAGGTAATAAACTAAGGGCGTGGCCGAGCGAAAGTACAACTGGTTGGATCGGAAGTTGAGGTTTGAGTTGTCCGTTCGATCGGAAGTTGTATATGTGCCATTATATGGCTACTCACCCTGCCAAAGGCCGTCATTTTCGCGCGCACCTTCCACAAAAAAATATAAACACCTCACTCTGCCCATGGTATTTGTGGACACCCCTCCCACAATATATAGATTATAAATTCATCACCCTGTCAAAGTCCAATTTTATATACCCTGCACCCGGGCAACGCCCACCTTATTTGCGCACACCTTTCCACAAAACACATTTTATTCAGGCGTTGTGCATTTTCGACGCCGAAATGTGTTCGCAATGCGGTTTTTTGTGCGTTTTTTTTAAACAAAACGGTTCAAATGTTTGGGACCACTTGTTCTATGACGTAGCATCACATATGTTTGCAAACGCAAGTAACGTCAATAGAACCCCACGCCACCCCCACCCTATCGAAAACATAGCATCAAGTGTGTTGGCAAGTGGAAGTGACGTCGATGAAACCCCACCCCCACCCACCTGTGACGTAGCGTCAAGTTGTGTGCAAGTACAAGTGGCTTCCACCACACCCCATCCATGACATAATAAGACCACCCCACGCCACCCCATCTATGACTATTCAAGCAATGTTGGTATCTACTGGCTGCATTTCTCTCACCTAAACGCGGTTGCCAATGCTTCATTTTTTTAGTTTGGCATGCTTCAGCCTCACACGCGAATCTGCAAAAAAAGGGTGCGCGCAGCGATGTGACCATCCATGCCCCTTTTTGCAAGTCCAATTTCCGTGCGGTTTTTCAACGAAACCCACCTGATTGCGATTTGAAACCCGTGTTGCAAGCAGCCCTTCCCCTGAAAGTCCGAGGAAACCCAAGGGCAGGATGCGCCTATGCATTGAAATCGTCTCCAATGATGGCAAGACCTCCATCATGGACACAGTTGTCCAGCCGGAGGTTCAACAACTCATACATTTCATCAACTACACCGTTGTCATCCCAAATTGTGGGGACGTAAGTGGACAACACGCGGACATTGCTGTTTGCGTACCGGAATTGCCGGGCACATTATCCTGGCAGGCATGAAAGGCCAGCTGTGTGATGCGAGAATGCAGGGAATAGTGCCGCACAATGCCAACACTACGGTGTTGGCCACCACCACTCCATCAACAATACTGCCCATCCAAGGATTCAAATAAAACGACCCACATGTTAAACATGTAAAAAACATTAAAGACATGTAAAACCTGACAAGGAAAAAAGGACGGAAAGATACTGGACGAAAAAACGTGAGATGAATGCAGTGTTTTCAGTGGTGTGTGGTGAGGGGTGTCTGATGAGTGCTGCAGTTCCTCCTGCTCTGTGCCCTTCGCTTGCCACACGAAAGGCACGCGGCAGCTGCCACGTTCACTAAGTGCTGTGCTTGCCACGAAATTTACACGACAGGCACCCGCGGGCCAGCGAGCGGCGACCAAGCGTCCACCCAGTCCTCCTGAATCCTCCGTGCGCAGCGCCTGCCACGAAATCTGCGCCCCAAGTTCACCCAAAGCTGTGCCACACTCCAGGTTCACCAAGTGCAGTGCGAACATTTGATGAGTGGTGTAAGATGAGTGGACGTGATGAGTTGTGTGAGATGCGTGGAGTATGACGAGTGGATGTGATGAGTGGTACAAGATGAGTTGTGTGAGATGAGTGGTGTAAGATGAGCAGTGTAGGATGAGTGGTGTAAGATGAGTGTAAGATGAGTTGTGCGAGATGAGTGGTGTAAGATGAGTGGTGTAAGATGAGTGCAGTAAGATGAAGATAATGGTGTAAGATGAGTAGTGGAGGGGCGGCGGCGGAGGAGGCGGATGCGGAGCGAAAAACAAGAACCGCGCATAGTGATGTGGGGAAAATATTCGAACAGTCTGGATGCCAAGTTTCTGTCGCACGAGAAATTACAAAAACCACCTGCCAATTCAGCAAGTGAAATCCTGAAAACGCTCTTCAGGCCTGATGCTTAGCATTTGTCACAATGTCCATCTGAACAAATTCATTCACCAGTTCGTCCATGTCATCCACTGCTTTTAGTAAACCACCACGGGAAAGTATATAAACTATGATTCACCCTTTTTTGACACCAATCCCTACTCCAACGATGCCTCACAGTCCGCCGTGACCGTTTTCATTTCGTCGCCGACCAAACCATTGTGTTTAGCCCAATGCACCATGCCATCAGCAGTGGCCGTGGCGTACATGGAACCACTGGTAACCGACAACCACGTTCTGAGCTTCATGGTGGTCATATTCAACCAACCGAGGCCCACAGTTTGTTGTCTGCCATGTTTTGGTTAAACCTGTGTGTGCAGATGTGCTTAATGGCGTTGGCTGGCATGTCAATCTTGGCAAAAACCATCGCGGGTGTCGTGTCGGAGTGGTGGTGTAGGCGAGTTGAAACGCAGGCGCACTGAACAGAACCGCATTTGACTTTGTTATTTTCCTGCAGTTTCTTCGTTGTCCAGGTCCGTGAATACCTGTTCTTCCACAACTTTGGTGTTGACACGTTGCTTGGACAACTCCAACTTCTCCAATTGTTTCGTTTCACCTTCCTTTCTTCACGCAACTCGTCATGCAAACAATTGATTCTGCCATTTTTGCCTCAAAGTCCCTAAACGAACTGCTCAATTCCTCCCGCGTGGTTGTGAGTGCGGCAATGGTCAATGGTAGCTGCACTGATAGCAACTCTGCTGGTTTCAATCTGGCCACCTGGATTTCCAAACTGTTTGCTGCCTAGAGCTGGTGGCACCATTTCCGTTGCTGCCTAAGCCCGGGCCAACGCCTTTTTGTCCGGCGTTGCGCTCCCCGTTTTGTTGCAGGTTCCTCGTCGCTCAATGAGGAATTTGATATTGTCAACGAGCCTCTCTCAGAGTCCCGGGCAAGTCTTGCCAACTTGCTACTCAGGAAGCTGCGTTTGTATCTTCATATCGTTGGTATGCCTTACTTCCTGGTGTTTTGGGATTGTCGGTTTGGATCTTGATTTCATTGCTTGGGTCTTTTAAACAGTGATTCAGCTCAGCAGACAGCGGCGTGCTAAAGATCGAAGCGCTCCCCAACATTTGAACCACATAAGCTTGAACCAAAACAGTTTGACTTGAACCAAAGCAGGCGCGATTTTACATTTTTTAAAACAAGTTTTGGGGTCATGGCTGCTTGGCCTTCCAAATTTAATTGCTTGAGATTGCGTAGCGTTGTTCATGTGCGCAACTTTCAAAAACCCTCCTCAACAATGCTGATGCTCGTCGTCGGAAACGCGTGGTTCAAGAGAAGTTGGTTGTGCTTGATTCCTGCATTCCGTTATTATTTTTTTTGGTGTTTTGCTGCGACAAAGTCATAGCACAGAAAACATCAGAAAACCAGAAGGCAACACGATTGCCATAAATCTGGCTCTGATGGCCTCTTTTGGCCCTAGCGGACTGCCTTCTTTGAATGTTTACGCAGCTCTCATGGGAAAGCTGTTGCCAGCGTTGTTCAACACAGCCCTTCTCCCACACTGGACGTGTCCACCCAACAATACGATGGCAAGAAACTAGGTGTTTCATGTTTTTTGGCCTTGGAACTCGCAGCATCTTCGAGTAAACTTTCAATGACGTGCTTTCTGCCTACCCCGGCGGCTTGGCTTGGACTTGTCGCTCCACATGCCCGTCTGGATGTTGGCCGGCAAAATGGCAGTGTAGACCCGGATGCATCAAAAAACAAAAAACGAGACAATACCAAATCGCAGACGGCATTGACAGGCACTTGAGGTGACGCATGTCTGCGTGGCTGTTAGCTCAATGCGCGCACACAACACTTTCTAGCTTACGTGCTTTCTCGTCAAGGCCGTCACGGTTTGTTCACATCTTTCAGACTGCGTTGCCGCCCGAGCCCGAGAAGCAAGCGGCCAGAAAACGGGCTCTTCGAGGACGGACGTTCTCCGGTTCCTCGGCTCCTCGCTGCGTCGGTCCCCTGCGGGGAGAGGGGGGCTGCGCTACCGGCGAGGGGCGCACCGTGCGACCGCGCGGCGAGGCTTCCGCGGAGTGACGCCGAAAACGCCCTCGAACACTGATGGGTTGGGCCTTCGTTCCTTTGGGCCGGGTCGGCGTGACTCTTTTGACTCGTTGCTAGAGGATGTAGCGCGCCCGTCGCGCCAACTTAGTACACTGAAGGAGGAATTTCAGGATGATCCCACTGCTGTAAGAGAAATACATTGACCGTTGCCATCCAGTGACGGATCTTGCGCTGCTGAACTGCGTGGCGAGAACATCTATCTACGGCGCTCACAAGTGAGCAGGGTACCATTTGGACGTCTCCCGTCTCCTTTTTAAGCTTGGGTTTGACGAGGGATGTCTTGTGTGGTTTTTGTTGATGCACGGGCTCGGTTGTGTGGCCAAGAGCCGTAGCGTTTCCATTCTTGTTTGGGTATGTCCCCAAAAATCATGTTTGCATATGTTATTTGGAGGGTGGCTCGCGGTATCCCGTCTGATGCGGGAACGCATGTTTCTATTTTCCTTCTTCTTTCCTCCCCAGCGCTGCTGAACTCCAAAAACGCCGTTTGGAGCTGGGTCACTTCGTCGAGACTGCGCCGTGCGGCGTGTGGCAGATGAACCATCTGATGTTCGTTGCTTCACACCACCTGGGGCCACTCAACCCCCTTAGGAGCGCGATGGGACCTTCTGTGTTAAACTATGAAAGGAGACTGGGTTGTATTGACTTGCAGGCGCTTCGGAAGTTGGAAGTGCAAGTGGCAAAAGAAAAGCAGGCCGCCGACTTGCTATCGATATGGTTCTTCCAGGGTTCGAAGTGGGAGGTTTCTTTTTTTGGATACACACCGCCCATCAATCCCTTTTCCATCCGGAGCGTTCCTGGAACGTTTTTTTGTTTATTTTTTTTTTTGGGGGTCTCATTGGCCAGGAAGCCGCGCGAGAATCCTTAGTCGCCAAGCCGGGCGAGGTCGGCCACAGTTGTGACTCCTTGTTCTTTGTGACGCTCATCGCTGGGTCGCCTCAGGGCCGACAAACACATGAAGAAACTGCAGGTCTGAGATTGAGCGAGCGGGCAGGCAGGACAAGGGTCTCGTTCGAACAGATGTTGAGCAAACGGATCAGGTTTGTTCATGCTGTGGTGTCAGGCCGGGTGGCGAACCGCGAGAAACGCCTTGCTGAAGACGAAGCGGCGGGATAGAATCCGAAAATGGCTACGACTCTATTTTGTCCCGCTTTTCTTGCAGGCTTTGTTGCGACGAGAGAACCGGATTGCTGAAAAGGAAAAGAGGCGCGTCGTCGTTTCTATTCTCCGGTGCTGACGGCTCTGCATTTGTCCTTGTCAGGATGGAGGGCCGTGAACGTGATGTCATGGAGGCGTGCATTTTTCGTTTCAATTGTGCCATGTGCCGCCCAGCACGCTGAGGCAGAGGGCCGGAACATGCGGGAATTGGCAGCAAGGAGGCGGAGTTGAACGGAGGGGTCACTGTTTTGGAGGGAGGTGGGTCGCCAGAAGCAGCTTGCACCCTGAAAGGCGGCAAGCAGAGTTGAGGGAGTTGCGTGTGGCTGACTTGGAGAGCCGGCTGGCAGAGGCACGCCAGACAGTTTTGTGGGTAACGTGCTCCTCCGAAGGATGTTGATGTGCGTGAGGCGTGGCGTTTTCGCTCTATGCCCAAACCAGGCTGGGTCTCATCTCCAGATTACTTAGGTCAGAGAGACTCATGGGGGGCGTCCAAATGGGACCCCGTTAGCTTCATGCACTCTTAACCTACTTGAACACTACTCTTAACCTATCTTATCTAACTCTTAACGTGCTCTTAACATACTCTTAATCTAGTCTTAACCACTCATAACTACTCATAACCACTCATAACCACTCTTAAGCACTCACAACCACTCATAACCACTCATAACCACTTCAGATGTCATTGCTAAGCGACTTTGGAGACCCGTGGTGTTATTTCGTGTCGTTCAGTGGCGTAGGACGTGAGTCAGTGATGGCTCAAGTTCACTGGCATAAAGTGTCAGTGTTGGTGGTAAACGGCCATCGATTTGCTGTTCATCCCCGGAATGGGGACGAATGCAGTTATAATGGGGAGCACTTGAGCTATGGCACGCTCTGAAAGCAGATGTCCCGCTGCCACTAGTTCCTACTCCTGAGGAAAAGCGGACTCTTCGTTCCTTGTTCGACAATTATATAATTCATCCAAATAACAATAATGCAGTATTCAGTTAATTAAACAGATAGGTTTTAAACAAAAGACTAAAGACTCTCACGAAAAAACTTGTGTACTAAAATAACTTGAACTGGTACTTGAGTGAAACGAGCCTGAACTGACTGATTCCTCTGGGACTCAACCTTTACTACTGCGTGAAGCAAGAGGTTCAATCATCGATTGGAGTCCATCAAGGCCTACCATCAGCTCATGTGGAATGGACAAGATCCTCAGATATTGGAATCTACCAAAAGCCGCTGGGAAAGTGTGTGCTCTGGCCTTGAAATCCAGTTGGATTCTTTTGGTCTAGTAGGGTCGTACCAGGTACCGCCAGTTACCCGCCCAGGGTCACTACATGTTAGTTATAAGATAGTGTGGTTAAACCGACCGACTATTTTCATTTTCATCAGGACGCCTCGCAGGTGTTTGTGGAGAAGACTATCCTACATCACTGCTACTGGCAATGATTGGGTGGGGCTTGCACAATGGACGGATGGTGCCGGGTGTGCGCATGTCAGCAGTGAAACTGCTTGATGGGGTTGTTCGACTATGCATGAAGACTGCTGAATTCCGATTACTCATGAGAACAGATATCAGCAGAGGACTAGTGTCACTGAACTTGCATGTGTTCTCTCTCTCTATTCTTTTTTAATTGTCTGTCAGTGAGTGGGAGTCCAGTCCGGGGCCGTGTTTGTCAGACCAAATCTTTTCAACTTTTCATCGGCTGCAGGATCCGGCTCCGAGATGATGTCGTTCATGCTGCAGCCTGGCGATCACTTTCCTTTTCACTACGTTCTGCATCATGCATCAGCTGACGATATTATTCGGCTCAGGACACAAAGGTTCCATTGGGTGAATGCGCCACCTCGTTCTGCAACATTGGCGTTTGTGGTTGCATTTTGCTTGGACCCGAAACTCTTCTTAAACCATAGTGAATTGCGCAAAAAACCAATCATGATGTATTCAATTGTTGATTTTGCCTTGCCCTGAGCCCGCCTGGCGCAAACCGTCCAATGAGGAAGCGTCCACGTGGTGGCATTTGGGATCGGCTCCGGTCCATTGCCAATGCCTTCTTGGCTCAAGTGGCTGCATTTCTGGTGTTTTGGCTGCAATACTCCAACCTGGTAACTTTGGGCCCATTATGAGGGATTGATTAATCCTTATCTCAAAGTTTCAAGTTTCTGAAGCTAAGTCCTACTTGAATTCTACACGGACGATCCAGGACCTTCACGTGCATAAGATGGTCGAAGTGAGCCCATTGAAGAGAAAGCCCCGAAGCAAGATCTCAATCGAGGACAGATTCCAAATTGTCAAAGATGTGCGAGATGCCAGGCCAGACTGCAAACAATTTGATGGGTTTCGTATCCAACCAAGTTTGAGTGGGTACTTGGTTACCGGTCGAAACTGATAGGTGTTTCACCATTGCCAAAGCCTGCATTGCTGCGCATGTCAAGCTGAACACTGCACAAATCTGCCAATGGACAATGGGCTGATGCTTAAAACAGTCCAAATTTATTGCGTCATTGCATGCCTTCATTATGCAAACCTTACTCGGTTTCAAGTCACCAATCAGAAATAAATCAGAAACATGCGCCTGAGGAATCGTACATCAGGAAGATGCAGCATGTCTTCAATGACTCCTTGCACCTGCAGGTGCCACCAGTTAAACAAGAAAACTGCTGATTGCGTGATCATGGCAATAAACACACATGGGAAACAAGTTTCAGAGTCTCATGATCCAGGTATCCTTTGATGGCTCTTCAATTCAGAAGGTCCCAGTCGAGCTGTACAAGGTACATTGTGGCTGGTCTTCACTAATTAAACACTTGGAAATTATGACCAACAAAAAAGCCTGAACACGCATAGCAATTAGATTTTCGTATAATGTGGGCGCATGCGACTTGCAGTTTCTAACAGTCAATGAACGTTTGCTTGATTGAAAGCCAGCTATTTTGATATTTTTCTGAATCACTTGAGTCAAGGCAGCACGAAGAACATCAGCGCCTATGCCCCTCCACTAGCACCTCGGATCTTAATTAGACTGCCGGGATCGCTCAAGACGCCCCAGGAATCCAAACAACCCAGGACAGACCCGGGAATTCTCGGACATGATCTCAAGACCGCAGCCGTTTCTCTTCAGATTATTGTTTGATATATTTGAACCCAAATATATCATTTTCATTCAATGCCCGCTGTTAGCCTATTAGCATGATTGATTCAATGGTCCACTGTAAATTTCTTTTACTTTTGACTCTGACGTCAGTCAGAACAGAACAGTTGGTCTGTCTGGCTGAATCCGTTGAACTGATGGCATGTGCGAACACCAATCCGGCGACGCCAAATTCAGTGATGAATCCACGCACTCCGGCAGCTGACGCGCAGTCGTCGACACTGGTTTCCGACATTGGTCCAACCCAGAGCTCAGCGTTCGGAGAGGAGTCCTGTCAGTCCTGTCAGTCAGTCAGTCAATCAGTCAGTGACTTATTTTAATTTTGCAATGATGTATGTCAGGCAGTGAGAGTCATGAGTCACTGGGCCCTAGTTTAATAGCATGAGTGACTGACTGAACACTATTATTAGCCTGCCGGTCGCAGGAGCATGATTGGGGACCACTTGAGCGAGCGATGTTGTGGCAGAGGCAATTCCGATGGCAGTGCTTAAAGAGACTTGGCTGATAACTATACAACGACTAACAATTTTTTTTTGGTTAGTTGTTAAAGTTTAGATTAATTAAAAGCTGTTTAAATTAATTGACAGAGACAAAGATATCCTAAGGATTCGTATCTCAAGCACGCAGATTCCGCCTCATCCTTCTGCAGTGGTTGCGGCGCGGCAGAGATGTCCAGAAGCATCTTGCAACGAGACATCAATGATTCTGGCAAAGCTCCTTTCCATGTCAGCATTCCGACTGTGATGATGTGGGAGCCTTTACTACATTGAAATAATATTTATTGTGTTTCAAACCTTATTGAACCCAGCTTTTGATTGTTCAATTGAGTGCTTCAGTCCCTGGTATTTTTTATTTGACTGACTAAGGAATACAATGCAGCGTGCCAGCAACTCTGCAAAGAAGCTCTCCGCTGGTCAGCTGCCGTGGTGGGGGAGGATCATAGTGGCTGTTGCCGTTTTGGCAACATTGAAGATCTGCTTCCATTTGGCACCCTTTCAAAGAATGACCCATACAGCAAGAAACTTCAGGCTAGCACCTCTGCTGAAGTTGTGCCTAGGAGCCGCTGCTTCGCACATGGTTCGCCATGTTCCACAGAGAAGATGCCAGTCTTTAGCGTTTCAGGTTTACCGTGCCCTGATATGTCCGCCTGTGACCAATGCTAACAGTTTAATGGGTGTGTTTTTCAATTTCAACCGTTTGATATCACGATTGAAAAATCCAGTGTGACGGGAAACTGTTCAGGCGGTTGTGTTTGATAACCGCTTGCAGGAGTTGGACATGGGTCTGATGAAAGACTGCCATCCAGACCATGAATGGTACCAGCTGTTCTGCGACCCTGGGGTTGCAGGCTTCAATGCCACGGCACGGCGCCGTACATGGTGTATAGGCGCTCACAGAGATCTCAATTGCTGCCTTCGCGACCCATTCATCCTGTTGGAGGAGATTGACCAGCGCATCTCGAATCTGGTGCAGCTTCGAGTGGAGGAATACTTAGTCGCATCAGCTGAGGAGATTTGGACTGAGGGCGCTGTGCTAGCCGCAAAGAGAGGTGTGACATCTTTTTCGAAGACAAACTGCCAGTTTACGCAAATTTTAACTACTCGCGAGCTCAATACAGTGAAGGCTCTTGATGAGAAATACAGACAAAAATATGGAATGGATCCAGAATCAGATCGAAGTCTCACCTATTTTTTGGGTGATGGCCCTGCGTTCTGCTGTTGGTCAGGGAACTCGGGACAGATACCTACTTACAGGAGGAATGCGAGATCAGGACTCTTTTGGCTACCAGCGCACAGCCGGTGGTTGACCAATAAGGAAAAATTACTTTCAATGGGTTTTCCAGTCAGGCCGGAACAAAGGCAGGCTTTGAAATGCGAAAGTTTGGGGACCCGGGACTATGAAAGGGCCTCAGACATGATTGGAAATTGTTTTCACTTCCAGGTGTCTGGAATTATGCAACTTGTGGCTCTGTCTTGCTTCGGGCCCAGGGAACAGGACCAGTTTGAACAGAACTAGGTGGCAGGAAAACAAGTGCGGTGCACTAAATTCAGAAGTATTTCAAGTGTTCCTCAGATTCCACAGATTGAAATCAATTTAATGGTGGTTCAGAACCTCACTTATACGTCACTACTTCGGTCCTAAGGTCATTGAATGACAGTTGACGATCATGTTACACTTTAGAGTAGCAGTGAATCACTGTCAATTTAATTTAATTGCCATGCTCACTTGAACAGTATTAGTCGCTGACCACTGTCTGTTGTTTATTGCTCCCAAGGTCTGACGCTCAAGCGCTTGTCACTGTCTCAGTCGAGATTCCAACACTCGATCAGAGCGATCATCATGGCAGCAGGGGTCCCACTATTCTTTGCAGACGGGACCCAGCTCGTTGAACGAGGGCCAGATACAGATGACGATCAATCTTTGCCCACGTCACGCCCAAGCAGAAGCAGTAGAGCCAAGGCGAAAGCCGGCAATCAGCCAGTAGGACGTTCCAAGCGTGGCAAAGGCACGATGCTCTCTTCAAGCTTCACCTCTTGGAGACTAACGCCTGTGACTGACTTGGAATTGAGTCAACATGTTTCTATGTGGGAACATGTTTAAAATTTTCAGACACCAAATGGGACTCAGTTAGTAAATCATCAGAATAGTCCAAGGACTGCCATCTCAGAGACTTCATGATGGCCGCCGAGCCTACCAAGTGCGACAAAGCCAAGGTCACAAATGCCTATTCATCGAAGATCACCCGCTTGGCGTTCTATGGGATGTTTAGGAAGGGTGAGAATGAGCCCTTAGACACGCTACTTGTCGGTGATTGATAATTGATTTCGCCATTATAAATAATAGCATTGATTGTCTATTGTTAGCTCGGTAGGGTTTTTAAGGAACCATAGATTGACTTGATTTGGTCAGGATTGGTTGCCAGGCTCGCGAAGGATGATTTGAAGAATGATCTACTTGACGCCTACGAAGCCAACGGTAAGCCAATGAGCCAGATTTCCTTTATGGATCTCGTGAAGGGGGTGGAAGTCGAGCTCAGCAAAAACACCAAATTAAAACTCATGAAGGTCAGCGACTAGTTATTTATTAAAAGCATGTTTTATTGCTAGTGATGACTGATGTACCCATTTTTTAGTTTCTTTATTATTTTATAATATCTAATTTGTATTTTTTAAATTAAAAGCGGTCTCAGGCGACGGCCAGTGGATGCTTGAATGCTGCGGGCAAGTGCGATCCTTGCCTGAGCCTGCGACTGGCAATGACTGGAAGTTGCTGTACGCCAAAAGCGGCATACCATTCATCACGGACTCGGTTGACAAAAAATGGTGCATGACCATTTTCCAGGAGACCAGCACTGCTGACGTCGTGAAGAAGAGGACAGCAGCCTCCGAGTTGGACATTTCCAAGATCAGTGGAGGTTCCGAAAAACCGGCTGGTCAAGAGCGTTCTCAGACCATTGCGCCATCGATGCCAGGTTTGAGCGCTTCAGACAGCGCGCTTCCTACGTGCCTACGGAGGCCGCGCCCGCGACGCGCCTCCCACAGCGTCGGCGGACGCGCCTGCAACGCGCCTTTACCAACGCGCCCGTGGACGCGCCTGCGACGCCCCCGGAAAAACGCGCCTCCAAAACGCGCCTCCAAAAACATGCCCGTGGGCGCGCCTGCCACGCGCCTCCAAAAACGCGCCTGTGGACGCGCCTGCCACGCGCCTCCAAAAACGCGCCTGTTGACGCGCCTGCAACGCGCCTCCAAAAACGCGCCTGTGGACGCGCCTGCGATGTACAGGGCCACGCCTTTGGTGCGCTTGCTTGCCGGGCGGCGTGCCTGGATCGCAGCCTGCGCGCGGTTACTTCATGGCAGGGCGCCTGAGCACACGCCCAGCCCGCCTCTTCTATACGCCTGTCCTGTCCTGCGTCCGGTCCTTGCACGCGTCCGTCCATCACGTCTTTGCGGCGGCTGCGCCTCGCACGCGCCTGCAGACGCACCTGAGACGGCCACCGTGGTCGCGCCTTGGAGACGTGCGTGGAGTGCCTGGCAAAGGCGCCTGATGATGAGAAGACTATAGAATGCGGCCGAAGAGGTGCGTGGGGGCACGTAGTGCTGGCGGGTCCTATAGATGCTGCGTGCCACGCAGACTGACCGAAAGCGCTTGCCAACTAACGGGGGTCGTGTGGGGTTACATGGAACGATCCGGAAAGAACCTTGTGGGAACCTTGGAGCAAAGCTGTCCTGCGTTCTCATGGGATCTTATAGCCGTGCATGGGAAGCACGTCCTCCGGCGTTGTTACTAAGGCGTGTAGCAGGCGCGTTTTCCAGCGGTCTTCTACAGGCGCGCCGCAGGCGCGTCGCAAGCGCGGACGATCGGGATCAGGACATGGCCGCTGACCGCAGGGAGCGCGCAGACGATAAAGGACAAAACATTACAAAACGTTGTCTTGAGGCTATAAGGTGGGTTCTCCGGCGCCGCGCCTCCAGTGCGTTTCCCAGGCGCACTTGCCAGGACCAGGACGAGCGGCACAAGTATAAGGGAAAGCGAGCGAGGCGCGTCGCCAGCGCCCCACCAGGCGCGTCATAACGCAGGCACTTGCTTGCTTAGCCGCGCCCGCCAGGACCAGCAGCGTAACTCCGCGGACAAGGACACTTGAAAAGGGGGCAAGAACTATGTAGGGGCCTGGGCGTGTCCTCAGGCGCACTTTTCCAGAGGAGGAGGGCAAGGATAATAAGGATAAGGGAGACGCGCGTTCGAAACGCGCGTTTGTAGGCTAGCTTTTAATAGCGCAAGGACGCGGACAAGGACAACGGAAAGGGAGACCACCACGTTGTGAGGCACGTTTGCGAAGCGCGTCCTCAGACGCATTGGCCAGGACAAGGATATAATGACGTGGATAGTATCGGAAAGGGAAAAGGCGCGCTTTTGGGCAACTCGACTGATACAGGCATTCTTGGAACGGGCTTCAACTTCTAAACGCATTGTGGACAGGTCGTTTCGAGCACCTCTATGTGGATCAGCGTGTGTCCAACCACCTGCTGTGACAAAGCTGATGACAGGTTATTCAATGAGGATACCTTCCATGCCACAGCGTTTGCAACCGTCACGATAAGTATAACGATATACCTTCCAATAAATAAGTATACCGTTTGCACAGCGTTATCCGTTTGCGCAGCGGATACCTTCCAATAAGTACACAACGCCACAGTCACGATCTTGCACTGTGGTGTTCATTTTAAGTGGTACGGTGTATTCTGCCGGATTGTGCTGGAGTGCGCTGCATTGACGTGACTTTTGCTAATGCCGGATTATCCTCGCCCAACAGCAGCATGCTTTGGGGTCTTCAGCCATAGTTCCTCAACAGCAGCATGCTTTGGGGTCTTCAGCCATAGTAAAGGTTTGGGAGCAAGCCGGAGCAGCTCCCAAAGACATTCCCCCAGGTTCCCACAAGGTTCCCACAAGGTTCCAAGGTTCCCGCCAGGTTCCCACAAGGTTCCCAACTTTGTTCCACAAGGTTCCCCCAAGGTTCCCACAGCTTTGCTCCAACGTTCCCACGAGGTTCCCACAGTTTTGTTCCACAAGGTTCCCGCAACTTTGTTCCACACCCAACGTTCCCACAGCTTTGCTCCAACGGTCCTACGAGGTTCCCACAATTTTGTTCCACAAGGTTCCCACAACTTTGTTCCACAAGGTTCCCACA